CAGTGTATATATATTATATATATACACTGTTATATACATAATATATTTATGTTATATATATATACACACACACACCACACACATATATATATAACACACACACACACACATATATATATAGAAAGAGAGAGAGATTTTTTTTAAAAAAAACAACCAAACAAAAAAACCCTCCGTGCAGTAGTTGGTGTGCATGGAGTATGCTATGCCTTGACTTTGAATGGGGACACACTTTTTTTGTTTAGGAGTACAGTATGGTTTTCTAGGAGTCTTTTATTGGACATTTCTAATACACAGTGAAGAATAATAAATGATCAGAGAGAGGTCACAGTCCTATTACTGCAGTGGAATATGGAATTTTTGTTTTTACAGGCATACAATATTAGCACATAATACTCTAGAATATAGATGGAAATTGAAGAATAATCCCCTGTTTTGACCGCAACTTCAGGAGGAATTTAGGTGCGTGTCAAACTACTGGGATAATCTTTCCTGCTCTTGCAAACTGTCCCAGTGAGCATAGCTGGTGAGGAACTCTTCCAAAAGTTGGATTCTCCAGTACCTGTGCACTGGAGACCCATGGGGTGTACTCAAAGGGTCACCCAGGCTAATGTGGAAAAAAAACAAGTTTCTTCCTGTCTACCATTCACATCCTGGCCAAGAAATATACCCAAGTTTCCAGGGTTTCTGACCTTACCAGGATCGTAAGCACCCTGCTGCTCCAGATACACAAAGCTCTTGGGTCAGAGGCAATATTTTTTATTAGACTAACTAAATAGTAGCAAGAAAATCTTATCTTTGCAAGCTTTGGCAATTTTTTTGCTACTATGTAGTGGGTCTAATAAAAGATATCTAGTCTAATAAAAGATATCTAATAAAAGATATCGACTGTGACCCAAGAGCTTTGCGTATCTCTTTCTCAGACCAACATGGCTGCAACATAGATCCCTACCATTCCAGGACATGTGACCTACAGCCACGCGCCTGTGTCCCCCGCCCTCTTCCTGAAATCAAAGCCAAGTCATTTCTCTGACTTTGACTTGATTAAAAAAAAAAAAAAAAAAATGGAAAACAAGCATATTGGAAAAAAAACAACAACCTGCAAAGCCCCGACAGCGTGCAATGCAGTGCCAAGCTTAATCGCCACCATTAAGCAATTATTGCACATGAAAACAGGAACTGTCGGCAAGCTCAGCCTGCTCCCGAATGAAAAGAAAAAAGGGTTAGACAGCATTGGCTGCTCTCGTCTTTCTAGTTTGGGGATCAAACTACATTCCTATCATAAAAGGTTTCCAGACTTATAAATAATAAAGTGACTGACAATTGCAACGTTAACTCTATCTCAGATTTATACATTAATATCTCAACCACTTCCCACCCTCCCCTATCCGTGACTCATAATTTATTTACAAAGCTTTTCCATGTTTATCTCAATGAAACACTGAGACAATAGGTCACCTATCCGGCACCTGTAGCCTGCAACAGCCTTGATAAAGCCACCACCTTGAGGTGCCTTTCAAGGGGGCAAGGGGAATTTTTGTTTGTCTTTCTGGCTTTTGTGGGCATTTTCTGCCACTCTTTGGGGACAGGGACGGGAAATGCTTTATGAATTTACAACTAAACAGATTTGATTCAGTCCAAGGTCTTTTCTTTTTTTTTTTTCTTCCATGGTAAATTTCCGGTAACAAGCCAACCAATGGCAGTAAAGCACAGGGATTGAAAACGGTTTCAAAGGAGGCTTATCATGCTGCGGACATATGCACATTGAGCCTTGTAGATAGGATGCGTGTAGGTTCCCTTCTGAGGGAGGCAGACAAATATATAGACAATTTTTTTTATTTGCTTTTTGCTTTGCATGTGTATTTTTTTTTCCTCTTTTGATTGTCCAACCTGTCAGCGTTTGCTCAAACAGGCTTCATGCCTTCAGGAACCAAACACATATCTTCCTTAAAGGGACACTGTCAACGGAAAAAAAATCAGCCAAATGCAGTGCCGGCTTTTAAAACATAAAATTAAAAACCTCAGTTGCATTTCTGCTCATCTCCATGGATTATTATAATGGGAAGAATCAAATTTACTTTTCAAAATTTGAACAGCATGAGCCGTATGTTAGGGGGCATCTGGTTTAAACACATAGATAGTCACATAGGCAGACAGAGACCAGGATGTAGGGGCAGTAAATAATAATTAGGAAGGTTGCTAGTTAGATGAGATGCAGTAATCCCTATTTAAAAAAAGATATATATATATTTTTTACAAGTCCTATGATATTGGCTTGTTTTTCTTAAAGTTCCCTGACCTGGAAGCATGCAGTGACATGAGAATCCCAGCTTGCATTTTTTTTTAATGAAGTTGCTTGACCTCACAGTCATAGGAAAAGCCTTGGAAAACTCCAGCCTAAAGGCTCAGAAAGCAAGTTACAGGAATAAAAAATTTACCATTTTTCTAAAGTGTCCTGATTTTAAAGTCTCTCCATTGGTAAATTCCTGACTCCTGTTTTCCAAGTGGTTGGAGCTGGCCACATAGTGTTTAGAGATGGGTAAGGTACCTAAACTTGACCTCAGGTTTTCATTCAGCTTGGACAGGATGACCAGGATTACTTTCGTTTTCTAGTTCTCACATATCAACCCAGTGCTTTGGCGCCTGGGTTTCTAATGATGCTGGGTAATGCTTGAATAAATACAAAATGACCATTAGAGCTATTTGTAATGAGAAGTGGGAACTGAAAGCAAGCCCCGCAAATTTAATGCTACAACCACTGCTCCGCAGAGCTAGACCTCTCCCAAATTCGATGGCATCAATGCTGAGGCCTGCATTTAGTCAAATTGCTGTGACATCTCTCCCACCCGCTGGGGCCAGGACTTGTAGATGCCTTTGGTATTCAATAAAGAATCATAACACCAGTATGCAAAGCATCTTTCCTTTTGAAAAAAGGGGATGAGAAATGAGCTACTTAAATCTCTGGGCCCGCTGGACGAGACAGCTAAATTAAGAGAAGCCCCTATTACAAGACATACAATGAGTAAGTTATTCCATTTACTACAGAGTTCACTGTACACTTTTGTGCATCCTGAGCTTCCTCCACACATAT